TCTTGCTTAAGTCTTTGAAGCTGAATGCATTTCATCTTTGGCCAACAGCCATGCCCTTGTGCCCAGGCCCAGACCAACTCTTAATCATTTCCAAAGCCACTCTGAGTGTCCTGGGAAAGGAAGGGTTGGCGTGTATTTCTCATCAATTTGGCAGGTCCTTTGGATCCTGTGAGGAGAGTATGAGACTGTACGAGGGGTCCCTGTGCTGGTTCCAGATGAGAGCCCTGACTCAACTTACCCCACCCCACCCACCCCGCACTGCTCAGCTCAGTTCTCCGTCCTGGGTTGCGGGGCCCTATTTGCGACAGTGAATCCTCAACTCACTGCAACTCTGGTTGCTGGCAGCTGGGCTTGGCCTGAAACTTTCTGTCCCCAAACTCCACTGGGGACCCACCTTCCAGCCACCCCAGGGTGCCACCACCAGAGCCAGGGGCCAGCCCCACCTTTGTTCACTCCTACCCAGAGCCCACCTGTTCTCTCCGCCGCCATCTGCTACCTGCAGCATCAGAAGGACATAAGGGCAGCAAACAGCCCCTGCAGCTGTCCACAAACACCATGGCCAAGACTGTGCCTGGGAAGCGGACTCTGTGGTGCCAGCTCCCTCCTCAGTGCCCTTGACCTTTGTCTGGGTCCCTACTTGATGTGGCCCAACTGGCTGTGCCAGAGCTCCACAGGTGCTGTCCCAACTCCCAGCCCCAGGAGGGAGGGAGAGGCTGAGACCACACGGGAAGCAGAGACTCAGTCACACCAAGGGCCCCGGCACGGTGGGCCTCTCCTCCAAAACCTCAGCAGGCTTCACGTTCAAGTCACCAAGAGTGCACATGTTCACTGTCGAGGGCAGGGGTGACTCCTGGGACTGTGCTGGGGTCCAGGGAGGACAGGTAGCAGAGTTGCCAGGGAAGCAGCTTGCCTGAGGTCTGTGGTCATGGCAGGGGCTTCCGCAGTGGCCCCACCCTCTCCGGGTCCCCTCCCTCCTGTCCTTGTCCTCGTGTTTACTGAAGACCATGAGAAGGGATGTGGAGAGCTCCTGCAGGAACTAAGAGCAGGAGCCTGGCTCAGCACCAGGGGCCCGCAGACATTCAGTTCCTAAACCCATAGGGTGGGGCATGGGCATAGGAGAGTAACCAGACCTGCCTCGCACAGCCCTGCTCCTTCACCCTGTCTGCCTGGTGGCCTCCTTAGCCTGCAGCCTCAGTGCAACCCGCTATGGGGTCATGCTGCCCCCTGCTGGCCACACTGCAAAGTGCAACCCAGGGTCGACCTGGAGGCTACAGGTGTCCCTCTTCCCCCAGGCCGGCAGCGGATCTAGAGGGGGAAGAGGGAACCAGGGAACAGCCCAGGTGCTCCTGCCCAGGAGGATAGTCCGACTGCATGGGGAGAAAGTCCAGAACCGTGCCTGGCACATGGTAGTCTTTGTGGAGAGGGCAAAAGTATGCATGATTGTGTGCATCTGAAGCATCTTGGTGCTGATGGCCTGACCGAGGGCAGATGACAGATCATGTCAGATATTTCTCCAGCAGGAATGGCTGCATTCTCCTGGCTCGCCTGCCAGGGAGCTCAGAGGTGCCCTGGCCCGGGAATCCGACGGCAGGGAGTCACCAGAAGGTCTGCAGTGCTCCTGTTCCTCAGCCCTGAGAATGCGGTGGGGACAGGACAGGGCAGTAGCAGAGAGCACAGAAAGGTGTGAGGGGGCACGCAGTCCCCAGTGAGCTTCTGCATCAGGACTCCAGGGCTGTCCCAGGGACGGCTGGGCCTGTGGGAAAGCCATGGTCCCCACCCCACCCTGAGCCACCTCCACCAGCCAGGAGGGGCCAGGGCCCTTCTTCAACCTCACCCAGGTCATCTGGGGAACTGGGCCACTGCCGAGAACAAAGCCCAGATGTGTCTGGGAGTGGAGGCTGTGCCCACCTCCCCCGGAGACTTGCCCCCAACTTAACCCAGGGCCCAGCAGGTGCTGGAAGGGAAGTGGAGTTAGGGAGTCGAGCAGGTCACCGCCAACTGTGCCCTGGATTCCAGGGCCCGTGTGCACAGAGTGACGGGAGCTGTCTGTCTGTCTGGCCAAGGGCACAGGAGGGTGAGTGTGTACAGCAGCCAGGGAGCAAGGGAGCCAGCGAGACACACAGGAGTGACTTTGGACCTCTGCAAGGAACCCGTTCACTCGCTCCCAGGCAGCAGCACTGGCCTTGACACCCAGCTCTGAAAGCTCGGAGACCACAGGACAAACAGCTTCAGGGGCTGTGGCCCCAGCTGGTCCGGGCTGTGTGCTGGTCCTAGAGACACTAGGTGTCTCCTCCTGCCCCAGTCCTGCCTCCTGCCCAGCACAAGGGCCTTTGGAACTCAGACCTCTGTGTCTCAGCCCCTGGGAGGGTCAGGTGGTCGGAGATGAGAAGGGCCAAGTCTGGCAGGCTGGAAACTGCCTCTCTCGGCTGCTGTGGGGTGAAGTACTGGGGGGCACAGAGGTGCTGGGCTGAAGTGTGGCTTCAGCTGGGTGGGATAAGTGCCAGAGGGCATGAGGACAGCCCTGACCAAAAGTGGGCCTGGGCCCAAGAGGAAGTGCCAGGAGCCTGAGGCCCATGTTGCTAAGGGCAAGGGATGCCATCCTGGGCTTTCTTGCCTGCCACCCCCTCTGGCCAGATCAGCCAATGGACTTGGCCTCCTTGAGCAAAGACCCATAGGCTCCTAGGTTTCCACTTGTGTCTCCAGCATACAGCGTCTGCAGCCCCGGTCCCACACGGCCACAGGCCACCTCCTCTTTCTCCTCCTTCCTGGGCCAGAGCGGCAGCCCAGCCTCATGCTGGGGAGAGGTAGACCAGAGATCACGCGCCTGGTGGTGCCCAGCAGTGACTCAGCAGCAACGGGACATGGGAGGCTCGGCTCCTGCCCGCTGTCCTGACAGTCAGCATGGGGTCCGCCTCAGCCTCCTGGAGGATCCCAGTTACCCAATCCTCAGCGGGGTGGGCCTGTCCAGGCCATTCTCAGTCTCGCTGTCTTGAGGGCATCTGGGAGGCCCAGGCAGGCCAGATTTGTCTCCTGGAGAGAGGCATGGGCACCTCTGGCCCCCCAGCCTCCTGGCCTCCTCTTGAGTCCCCTTATGCAGAAAGGGCCCTGGCTCAAGGCTTGCCTGGCTTTGGGAACTGTTTTAAAAGGGACATGAAGAAAGAAGAAGCCAGAGAATGGTCCTTGGCCACTCTGGATGGAGTGTCCCCTGAGGAGTAGGAAGAGAGCTGTCCCTGCCTCAACTCCTACACCGAGTGACTGTTGATTCACCATTCTGTCCAAGGGGGCTTGGGCCTGTCCTAACACTGGCTGAGGAGCCTGGCTCCAGCTGGCCCTCTGGTCCGCAGGTCACCACCTGGGCCCTGTGTCTGGCTTTGAATTTCCTAACATCCAAAATGCCCTGGGAGTACAGTGTCCAGCCCGTTGTGTGCAGTAAACGTGGTGTTCCTAACCTGGAGCTGGGCAGAAGAGGAAGGACAGAGTCCCCGCAGACCCTCGGGGCTCTGTGTCCTGAAGTTCAAGCCTAGGTCACCCTGCAGTGGGCCCAGCCTTGCCTGCACTGACAGATGGCACCAGCAGGAGGCGCAGTGCTCCACTGCCACCGTTCTCTGTCCCCACCTCAGTGCAGTCAGCCCTGGACCCCCTACCGCCTGCTCACCTTAGCACACACAGCCACAGGCCCTCCCAGCTCCAGCCCCTGGCCCCCGGTCACTCTCACCTGCTGCTTTAGCCGGAGATGGCCTGGCAGGGCCTCCCTGAAGCTCCCTCCAGCCAGACAGGGGTGGGCCAGGGATGAGGGCCAAGGGCCACCTCCAAGCATTGAAGCCCTCCAGGGAGGGAGGGCAGGCGGCCCCCTCTGTGTCCCATCCCCCTTAGTCCTGGCGAGCCCTCCCCTGCCTCCTGCGGTGCCCCCTGCCCTCATCTGTGTCCCCTGGGCTCCCCCAGCACTGCAGCCTCCTGGGTGGGGTTTCAGGACCCCCAGGCCCTCCCAGCTCACCCAGACCCCCTCCTGTGGCTCTGCTTTCTGGCACCACCTTCCCTCCCTTGGGGACAACCACAGTGGGGAGAGGTGGGGCTCTGCCGTCCCTCTAATGCAGGGGTGCTGGCCTTCTGGGGTCCTTTTGAGAACTTGATGAAAGCTATGAGTTTACACCCAAGAAATTCTCTGGCACCGTTTTCACCAACATCGTTCCCCGAAGGTGGAGCCAGGCTCCCGGGTTGCATTTTGTAAGCCTTGGGAGCTCTCAGGATACGTCAGGGACATGTGGCCTCGGACTCCCTCAGCTCTGCCCTGACCCAGAGCATTCATCCTGGAGCAGGCCCCCGTTGCTGGCGGGCAAGCAGAGGCTTCCAGAGGCTGAGGGAGGGGCCTGGGGTCCTGCTGCAGGGACCAAGACGGAGCTGCGCCTCAGCATCAGCCCCTGCCATCCTTGTCTCCTCCCAGCCGGGCTCTGCACAGGTCATCACTGTCTTCAGCCTGGTGGAGGGAGTCTTGCGGGCAGCCATGGCCCTCTAGTATAGTGCTGTCCTGAAGTGGCCGGGCACCCAGGGCCACCTGGGCCCCGAGGAGGAGGAGGGGGAGGACTGAGGTTACCGGGCCCTGCTGGCTTTTAGAAATAGGAACTGTTGACACAAAGGGGAATTTTTAATTCTGTTTTTAAAATGTTTAAATTTTTCAAATTTAAATTTAATGTTCTAAATTATTAAATTTAATTTAAATGTTTTTAGAAACAGGGTCTCGCTCTGTCACCCAGGCTCAGGGTATGGTGGTACCATCGCAGCTCAAGTAGTTTCAAAATTCTTACCTCATACCGTCCTCTTGCCTCAGCCTCTCGAGTAACTGGGGCTGCAGGCCTGTGCCACCATACCCAGCTGTTTTTGGGCTTTTGTTTTGGAAAAATGGGATTTTGCTTTGTTGCCCAGGCTGGTCTCAAACTCCTCAGCTCAAGCAATCCTCTTGCCTTGGCCTCTCAAAGTGTCGGGATGATAGGTGTGAGCCTCTGTGCCTGGCCTGTTTTTATTTTTATTTCTGGATTTTATTTTATGTTTGCCTCTCAGTTTTTAAGCAAACTGCAAGGAAGATGGTGGGGCTAGAAGGAAGGCTGAGGCCTGGCCAGCAACGGCCCAGCACCCCTCTGAGTGGCCAACCCCCCTTTTCCCCACACTGCCCTCCTCTGCTGAAGGAATGAGGGCTTTTCAGCAAATCCATGTCAGGGAACAAAATCAAGTATGGAGTGCCATCTGGTGTGTGGGGTGCCTCTGGGAAGCCTGGGCAGTGGAATGCCCCTTGCACCCAGGGCAAGGGACACAGCTCAGGCTCCACACCTCACTGCTGAGCCGATGTCACCGCCCGGAACCTTCCTGTCAGTTCCAGCACGATCCAGAGCTGGCTGCCTGGCAGATTGATGCCGGAGTCTCGTTCTGCCTGATTAAAAATGTAATTAGTATGCAGGAATTAGTGCTGAGAGCACCCCGTCACCCTGTCCCCACTTCCTCCTGCACCAGCTCTGCAGGGCCTGGTGGTGGTCATGGGTCCTGCAACACCGTCTCCCCGCAGTTCCTCAAGCAGCACTCTGTGAGGCCCTGTGCCCGGCTCTGGTGTGAGTTGGTGCCCTGGCAGCGCTAAGGGAGACTGGACAGAGAAGCTGGCCTGGGCCTGGTAAGGGGAGGAGGAACCCTCAAGTGCGTTCCCAACCAGGAGGGGAAACCGGCTCCTGGTGACACAGCCTGGCCCCATTGCCCACCCAGTGTCCCGAGTGCCCACGGATCCCACCTGCCTCAGGTCCCGGGCAGAGCCAGCCGGCCACTGGGCAGTCCCCTCCCCAGCCAGCTCGACCCCAGCCTGCACTCCTTCCCCCTCCGTGGGGGAAGCTCCGTGGCTTGGCTTCCCCGAGAGCTGCCAAAAACTAGGATGAAAGCCGCGGTGAGCACAGCCTCTGCTCCCCCGCACCATTTCCTGGGGTGTCTAGATTAACAAGCTCATTTGATCTGGTTACAGTGAATTTTCTTCAAAGAAACACTCAATCGGGTCCCTTGTCAGAGTGCCTCGCAGCGCCTGAACGACGGTGACTGGGCACGGCTGCCTTTGTTCTGCCACCGTCAGATGGGGCTGGCTGTGGGAGGCGACCAAAGACGTCCCCGCCCCTGCCCTCGGAGCCTTTCCCTCCTCCAGGGCTCAGCCACCTCAGGCGGCCTTCAGTCTGTGCGTCCTGCCACCCCTGAGATGTCCCAGAGGCCACGGTCACCCCATCTGTTCCTGCCCCCAGAACCTTCTCCTGGAGCCAAGTATCTGCAGGGACAGACAAGTGAGCGTCTGGGGGTTTGGTGCTGGGGTGTAGAAGGCTGTGGGGTGCTGCCCTGCCCCAGGCAGCCTGACTGTGAGAGCCCCAAACAGGAGACATCCCAGCCTCTTCCCCTCCCCTCCATGCTGTGGCAGTGGGTACTGTTGACGTGTGGCACGTTCTTGGATTGTGCATTTCTCTGATGAACTGCATCTGTTGCCAGTAGAAAGATGCTAACATGTCTTTGGCTCAAGATCAACACTGCTCTTGGCTCCGGTTGGGACGTCAACTATTGCTACAGAGCAGTAATGGTTAAAAATAAGATTTTGGAATTTATTAAAATGTTTTTGGCTGGGCGTGATGGCTCACACCTGTAATCCCAACACTGGGGGACCGAGGCGGGTGGATCACCTGAGGTCAGGAGTTTGAGACCAGCCTGACCAACACGGTGAAACCCCATCTCTACTAAAAATAAAAAATTAGCCGAGTGTGGTGGTGGGCGCCTGTAATCCCAGTTACTCAGGAGGCTGAGGCAGGAGAATCACTTGACCGGGAGGCAGAGGTTACAGTGAGCAGAGATTGCGCCACTGCACTCCAACCTGAGTGACAGAGCAAGACTCTATCTCTAATAAATAAATAAATAAATAAATAAATAAATAAAATTGAAAACTTACCAATAAGGGAGTGAAACTCTTACCTTGAACAGGGTCCCTAAAGCTAGCCCAGTTTTGGCCATGTCTGCAGTGATTAATTTGCGATTCATTTCAAAAGAGTCCTCGGGCTCCACAATCTGGGGATGGTCAGTGTGTTTCCATTACACGTGAGCAAAGGACAGAAGCATGTGCATCCTGGGTAGCATGAACCATTTCTCCCATCCCCGGATGTCCTGTCACTTGAGGGATTTTCTTCCCCAGAAACAGAAGCTGGATCATACAAAAAACAATGAGGAGATGCAGTACCTGGTCTCCCTGAGCGTTTCCCACAGGCTCTAGTTCTCTGAAGACGTGCCTCTCGGCTCTTTGAAACTGTGGAACTAAGTTGGACATGGTGGCATGAGCCTGTAATCCCAGCACTTTGGGAGGCCAAATGAGGCAGGGGGATCGCTTGAGGCCAGGAATTGGAGGCTGCAGTGAACTTTGATCCCGCCACTGCACTCCAGCCTGGGCAAAAGAGCAAGACCCTGTCTTCATATACACACACACACGTATATATGTGTGTGTATATATATACGTATATATGTGTGTATATATACACGTATATATATACATACACACATATGCGCACACACACACACATATTTTGCTGTAAGCCAAAATCGTGCCATTGCATTCCAGCCTGGGCAACAAGAGTGAAACTCCATCTAAAATATATATATATATATATACACACACACACAATATTTTTACAATTAAATTTTGACGCCGGGCGTGTTGGCTCACACCTGTAATCCCAGCACTTTGGGAGGCCGAGGCGGCCGTATCATTTGAGCTCAGGAGTTTGAGACCATCCTGGCCAACATGGTGAAACCCCGTCTCTACTAAAAATACAAAAATTAGCCGGGCGTGGTGGTACATGCCTGTAATCCCAGCTACTCGGGAGGCTGAGGCAGGACAATCTCTTGAACCTGAGGTGGAGGCTGCGGTGAGCCAACATTGAGCCACTGGACTCCAGCCTGGGTGACAGAGCGAGACTCTTATCTCAAATTAAAAAAAAAAAAAAGAATAAATAAATAAATTTTGAAACCAGGGGACCAAGTTCTGTTGAAGACCTGGAAATTCCAGCAGGCTGAGTATCAGAGCAGTCACCGTGGTCGGCCCTTTTGAGGTGTTGCTGAGAACCCACTCATCTGTGGGTGTTGCAGATTTACTACACTCAGATAAAGCCAGTGTTTCTGGAGTTCCTCCAGGAGAAACTGGCAGAGTTCAAAGCCCAGCCAAAGACCCTAAGAAATCACAAAGGGAACATGCGCTTTTCTGGCTGTTATTGTTCTCCAGCACCTTCCTGCCTCTGGATGGAAGGACAGCTCACTGCTTAGTATTTCACAAGCTCTTGCTTCATCCACCAGCTCATCCACTGTTGGAGGTGTCACTGAAGTCAATCTGTCCTGGATCATAGCGACCTCTTAACCCAACAGTTCACAGCTTTTTACATGTCCCTACCTGAACATCCAAAGACCCCTAAAAGAATTGTGGACTGAGTACTCCTTACGCGTACCCTTTTAGGGACCACGAAGCCCCCGTTTCTATTGGGCATCCCAGATGGGCTACTCCCTTACCCTTCCCAAAAGAAGGCAAGCTCCTCTTTTCCCTTGCTGGTGAGCCAGATAGCACTCCATCTGACTGGCAGGTAATGAGTCAGGAAGTCTTTCACGCAGGCGTGGCTTTGCCTGGGTGTAGTAATAACCTGACTGATCCCTGGTTAGAAAAGACAGCCGTAGTGACTGCTGCTACCCAAGACACAGACCTGTGCTCCTGAGGGCTGCCCTGTGGATCAAAGCAAGCCAAATGGCAGCTACTATGGCTGCCCAGCAAGTCCCTAGACTCCTTAGCTGGAGTAGTTTTATTATTATTATTATTATTATTGAGACAGAGTCTCGCTTAGTCACCCAGGCTGGAGTACAGTGGTGCAATCTCGGCTCACTGCCACCTCCGCCTCCTGGGTTCGAGCAATTCTGCTGCCTCAGCCTCCCATGTAGCTGGGATTACCGGCGTGTACCACCATAAATACCCTGCTAATTTTTGTATTTTTAGTAGAGATGGGGTTTCACCATACTGGAGAGGCTGGTCTCAAACTCCTGGCTTCAAGTGATCCGCTCACCTCAGCTTCCCAAAGTGCTGGGATTACAGGTGTGAGCCACCATGCCCAGCCTGGAGCAGTTTTAGATAACCGCATAGCTGTGCACCATTTGCGTGCTGAACAAGGGGAGTATGTGGAATCGCCAGCTCGTCTTGCTGTTCCCACAGTAATGCATCAACTGAAGTAGACAAGCATGTTGAAATGACAAGGCAGCAAGCTTCCAGGTGGCAGAGACTGCTTTTCAGGGGTCTCTGGGTTTTTTTGTTGTTTTGTTTTGTTTTGGCAGCTGCCCAGGCTGCAGTAGACTGACACAGTCTCAGCTCACTGCAGCCTCGACCTCCTGGGTTCAAGCAATCCTCCCACCTCAGCCTCCCAAGTAGCTGGGACTACAGGCATATGCCATCATGCCCAGCTGATTTCTACATTTTTTGGTAGAGACAGGGTCTTGCCATATTGCCCAGGCTGGTCTCAAAGTCCTGGGTTCCAGCAATCAACCCACCTCGGACTCCTATAAAGGCGTGAGCCACTGCAGGAGGCCGAGGCAGGAGAATTGCTGACATATCCAGTTTCTTAGAAAAAAACATTTAATAGAGACTTACGAACAGAAGCTATGTCTGAGTCTCAGGTGGCGGTGAGGCAAGATGGTAGCTTTACTCCCCAAGACCGAGGGCCACAGGGGAGGGGCGACCTCAAAGGGATGTGTAGGACAATTGAAATATGATAACATCAAAGTTGTTTTGTCCTAAGGGCAGGATTTACAGGAAGTAGGTGCTCCTGCAAAAGAAACACGACATGAACGGGAAATCTCAGAGGCCCTCCGAGAACTGGCATTCATCAACGTGGTGAATTAGCCCCCAAGATGGAATTGCTTTGACACCCACACCACCTAAAATAATCTGGAGTGCTGTTGACAGCTGATGTGAGACTTCAGTTCGTGTCTTCTTAGCTTAAAATAATTTAAACAAGAGATGCAATAGCAAAGGAGATGCGGCATGCAATAATTTATTGCAAAAGAAAAAGACTATCTTGAAAGTGAAGTGCAGAATAGGCAGAGAGAAGAATTCAGGGTGGGCTACTCATAAAGACGAGACAGCAAAGGTTGGCACTAGGAAGACTCCCTTTATGGAAATTTTACATGATTATTCCTGAGGGGGTGGGAAGAGGCGCTGCTAGTAAGCATGTTCTGGGTGGTCCTCTGAGTGCACATGTGAGTAGCTGTACATGCTCGTTCATGCGTCGCATGTCTCATTAGCTTCTTAAATCTCCACCCAGGTGTGCTTTTTACTATTATGAGCAAAGGGTCAGTTTGAGGATAGGTAAAATCAAAACGCGCATGTTCTCTAGAAAGAAAAATCCCCACTGAAGATAGCTTTGCTTGAATGAGCTGAATTACAATTCGAATGCTGAGGCTTATTGTGTTGACTGTGTGGTCACCACGCTTGCTGCATCCCAAGAACATGGTCACTTCCTTGATTACCTATCCTGTTTCAGTACCACCCTTTGGAAACATGCGCATGTCACATTTTGAAAAATACTGTCTGAGATGAAAATGGAAAATGCAGCGGGAACAGTTGCATCTAATCTGGATCAAATGACCAACTTGTTCCTTCCTTTCCTTCTTTCCTTCTGAGATATGCCAAACATTAAAACTGCATACAACAGAAAGATACTGCCTGAAGAAGAGTTACAGAATTGAACACCAAAGCAATACCACTCAGATCAAGAAACTGACTACGGCCAGGATCTCCCCATATGTACCCCGCCCCCCTATTCAGACCCCACTTCTTCCTTCCTCACCAAAGAGACCCATTGACTTTGTGTTGTGTGTGTGTGTGTGTTTGTTTTGTTTTGTTTTGTTTTTGAGACAGAGTCTTGCTCTGTAGCCCAGGATGGAGTGCAGTGGGGGAATCACAGCTCACTGCCTGCAGCCTTAACCTCCTGCGCCCAAGCAATTGTCCCACCTCAGCCTCCCGAGTAGCAGGGACTACAGGTGTGTGCCACCTTGCCCATTTAATTTTTGCATTTTTGGTAGAGATGGGGTTTCACCATGTTGCCCAGGCCAGTCTGGAGGTCCCGGGCTTATGCCTCACCTCCCAAAGTGCTGTGATTACAGGTGCGAGCCTCCACCCCCAGCGCGGCCTAAATTTTTTGACACTCCTTTTCTTTTAATAGTTTTTGGCCAGGTGCAGTGGCTCACACCTATAATCCCAGCACTTTGGGAAGCTGAGGTGGGCAGATCACTTGAGGTCAGGAGTTCGAGACCAGCCTGGCCAACATGGTGAAACCTCGTCTCTACTAAAAATACAAAAATTAGCCTGGCGCAGTGGCTTACGCCTGTAATCCCAACAATTTGGAAGGCCAAGGCAGGTAGAATGCCTGAGGTCAGGAGTTCGAGACCAGCTTGGTCAACATGGTGAAACCCCATCTCCACTAAAAATGCAAAATGAGTCAGGTTTGGTAGCGGGTGCCTGTAATCCCAGCTACTCGGGAGGCTGAGGCAGGAGAATCCCTTGAACCTGGGAGGCAGAGGTTGCAGTGAGCAGAGATCTCACCATTACACTCCAACCTGGGTGACAGAGCGAGACTCCATCTCCAAAACAAGTACATCAACAAAAACAAAAAAGATAAAAATACAAAAATTAGCTGGGCATGGTGGCAGGCGCCTGTAATCCCAACTACTCAAGAGGCTGAGGCAGGAGAATCGCTTGAACCTGGGAGGTGGAGGTTGCAGTGAGCTGAGATGGCATCACTGCACTCCAGCCTGTGGGACAGAATGGGACTCCATCTCAAAAAAACATAAATAAATAAATAAATAAATAAATAAATAAAATAAAATAGAAACAGGGTCTCGCTATGTTGCTCACTATGTGGTGAATTTTGTCAGGCGCCTGAGCAAGACTGGAGACCAGACACACACCAATGTCACTCGCAGAAAACAAAGGATACTCGTCCACATTCAAAGTCTATGATGACACCCTGGCCACATGGGAATGCTTGGCCACCCTGCCTCCTACCGTCATGCCAGAGTCGCCTGTCATAATGTCTGGTTACAGCCCTTCCTCTGAGACCCAGGGATTTCAAAGCAGAAGCAGCAGGCCTTCCCGGGCTGGAGGAAGATATAAAGCCTCCATTCCTGGGATTCTTGGTTGCTGTTACCTGGGGCAAGGGGAGGCCCAGGCTGTGGCGTGTATTCTCTGAGGATCGGTCGTCTTGGTCCTTCTGCTCTCTGGGAAGGAAGGGCTGGTCCTGTAGGGCCCCATCTGGATCCCTTAGCACCCTCTACCACCTGGTGCCCTTGGGGATAC